ATATATACATACACACATATACATATATATATATATACATACACACACACACCTCACCACCAGCACTTAACCTCGCTTACCCCTAGCTGACCATGTATACACCTTCGAAGGGATCCATATCATAACTGTGTGGTGCCCTTTCTGGGGACCTCTATACTGACTGTATAGTGCCCCTGGCCCTTGAAAGGCACTCTTATATTAACCGCATAGTACCCCTTCAAAGTACCCTTTCAATCATGTGCTGCTGGCTCTCAGAAGTCAAGCTCTGCTTCCTGCCATGCTCAGCCGAGCTCTGCAAAAGGTAGGATGCGGTTTTTTTTGAAGGCCTTTTGATGACTGCTCCGCAAGCAAAGCGTCTTCAATAGGTAGGATGCGGTTTAGGGTTTAGGGTTTAGGGTTTGGGGTTTAGGGTTTGAGAGTCTGGAGTTTCGGGCTTTGGTGCTGGGGTTTAGGGATCAGAGTTGCTGTGGATTTAGGGGTTTAGGGGTTTAGGCTATTTGGGTATTTGGGTGCTAGGACTTGGGCTTAAGCTGTTCAGGGTTTTGGGTGTTTAGGATGTGCTCTTCAATTCGTGTTACGCTGTGCCATGAGTTTGTTGGATGAGTTGGGCTTTGCCAGTGCAGTGTGTAAACTGGGTTACCCATAGGCCCCTAAGTAGTTCCTTTTTGATATTACCTTGTAGGATTCTAAATATAATCCACAAAAAGGAGCTACTTAGGGGCCTATGGATTAGGTTGTCTCGCGGCTCAAGGTTGCAAGCGGAAATCGAGCGGAGGACGGGCTTGGCATTGAATATCAACGAGACAAAGCACATACAACACACCGTGGACCAAGACCTGAAACTAAGGTGGCATTGAAACCCTCTGTACCATGCCACAAAACACAAAATGTATACGAAAAGAGAGGGACAAACGAGCTGGCGCCTCTGTCAAACCACGTGTTCCAATGATGAAAACATGAAAACGATATAGGCAAAACGTGCCGACGAGTTCTAGTTTTGTCCGACGCCTATCTTTTCCTCAACCCAATGATAAAAACCTTGTGCTCCATAGGATCCTGAGTTAAGTAGCCTGGGGGAGGGTTTTGGGTTTAGGGTTTTGCGCAAACCAGAACTGGTACTGATATAGAAATGATAGTGAAACCACGCCCTTGAAGGAGAACCCTCCACCGAAAGACCTACCTTTTTCAGGACTTATATAAGGAAAACATGTTGATACCTTACGACCCCTAAAACTTCAAAGCCCAAACAAATCGATTCAAGGAGTCCCCAAAAGCCCAGTCTAGAATCCTAGGCACTATGACCTTCACTATACGGGGTTTAGGTTGATACTATTCATATCATTATGATTACTATTATGATGATTGCTTTTGTATTGATTTGCTTAGGGGTTCGGGAGATGCCTGCACTCACGAGGTCTTCAGTCCTGCGTCGGGTGTCAGTCTGGGTGGAGGTTTAGGTTTTGGGGTTTAGGGTGTTTTGTGTCTAATTTGTGTGCGTGCTTCTGATTGAGAGCTTCGTTGTGCTAGGGTTAAGTTGCGCCTTTCTGCTGCAGCTTCCCTAAACCCTAAACCCTTAACCTAAACCCTAAACCCCCTAAACCCTAAACCCTTAACCTAAACCCTAAACCCTAAACCCCAGATTTGCTGAAGGCTTGACTTCGGAGTCGTTCGTGTTAAAGGCTGCAGTGTGTAAGCATTCAGGGGTCGGCTTATGGTTCTGCCTTGGTTTGGATTCAGGTTTGGAACCGTTTGGATACTTGGGTTAGGGTTTAGGGTTTAGGGTTTAGGGTTTAGGGTTTAGGGGATATTTGGGTTTGGGTTGCATGATGGTCTGTTTTGGCTGGCTTTTGTCTTGAGTTCCATACCTGGCCATTGATCTGCTTCCATCCAAGCGGCTAGTATCGCTGATAAGGCTGAGAAAATTGAAAATTCATCAAATGACCCGCAGGAGGAACTTCTGAGGTAACCCTGGATCATTTTTCAAGCCTCCCTGACTTCATCATTGCAGTGCCCTCCCGATGCCTTGCGGGGTCCATTACAGTTGTGGGCTTGGCGGGATTCCCCGAAGTAGCAGATCAAGTCATCGCCTGCAGGTTCAACTTTGTCGGACTTGGAGCTTATAAACCCTAAACCCTAAACCCCTAAACCCTAAAACCCCAAACCCCTAAACCCATTGATTGAGGATCTTAAGGTCTTTAGGGCCCAGTGTTGTTTCGAATTCATTGCTTCTCGGCTCAATTGTTGGGGGTGTCGCGGCACGGGCCCATCCAGCGGCAAGGAAGGAGTTTAGGGCTTAGGGGTTTAGGGGAGGGTTTCGGGTGCAAGGTAATCCAAAAGGCCCTAAACCTTATCCCACAAACCGCAAACCCCAAATTTCGCAAATCAAACTCCTGAGCCAAAAAGCCCTAAACTGCTAAACCCCCAAAAGCCCTAAATCCTAAACCCTTTAGAAACTCCCTAGAGATCCCTTCCAGGAACCCCTTCAGCCCTTAAAGGAACCCGAAAAGAATCCCTTCAGCCCTTGAAGGAACCCTAAACCCTAAACCCTAAACCCTAAAACCCTAAAAAACCCTAAAAAACCCTAAAAACCCCTAAAAATCCCCATACCGTCCTCGCTCCCAAGCGTCCACGACAATCGAGGAGCCGCACAAATCCGCGCCGTTCAGTGCGGACTTCGCGGCCTGGGCCTCCTCCGCAGTGGCATACCTTTTGAAGGTTCTAAGCGCTTTGGAAGGTTTCATTTTCTTCTTTTTTTGAAGGTTCTAAGCGCTTTTGTGATTCTAAGGTTTCATTTTTTTCTTTTTCTGGAGGTTGGGTTTAGTGTTTAGAAGGTTTAGGGTTTAGGGTTTAGGGTTCCTTGAAGGGCTTCAGGGATTCTTTTAGGGTTCCTTACAGGGCTTCAGGGATTCTTTTAGGGGTTCCTTTAAGGGCTTCCTCCGCAGTGGCATACCTTGAGAAGGTTCTGGTGTTTTCTCTTTTTGTTTAGAAGGTTCTACGGTTGATGATCAAAAATCCTGCGTTACCCATAATAAGGACTATACCAGAATTCCCAGAGTTTAAGGTCCGTAAGGTAATGCAGGTTTTATATCATCAACAGTAGTGTTTTCTCTTTTTGTTTAGGAGGTTCTAGTGCTTTAGGGTGTATAAGGTTTTAGTGGTTGTCTTCTTCTTTTTTTCTAGGCGTTTTCAAGGTTCTAGTGCTTTTTAGGGTTTAAAGTTTCAGGGTTTACGGGTTTGGGGTTTCGGGTTTTAGGGTTTAGGGTTTTGGGGTTTAGGGTCATACCTTGTATGCTCTAGTGCTTTAGGGAATAAGGTTTTAGCTCTTTTTCTGGGGGTTTAAGGCTTTTAGGGTTTCAGGATTTCAGGTTTAGGGTTTAAGGTTTGAGTTTGTCTAGTGTGTAAAAACTCTAGAGTTTAAGGTTTTAGGGTTTAGGCTTGGGTCATCCTATAGGAGTGCTTATGGTGTTTAGTTGTAGGGTTTAGGTTTTTAGGGTTTAGGGTGTTGAGACTGTTTAGAGTGTGGTTTAGGGCTTACCTTAACCCCAAACAACCTACCCTTAAGGACTTCTATAAAGAAATCATAATAAGGAACCCTAGAAATGTAAGTTCTTTAGGGTCCAGGTTTAGGGTGAGGGGTCTCGCCGGGTCTTCCTTGTAGCCGCTGAGGGGACTGGGTAGGAGTCATACAGTGGATGATATAAATCCTGCATTACCTTAAGGACCCTAAGCTATGAGTGGTATATTCCTTACTATGGGTAATGCAGGGTTTATACCATCAACCGTAAGCCCTATGTCCGAGAACTTAACTACAAGTTGCCAGGGTCGAACTTTGGGATTGGCTTTTAATGCGTACCGGCTGGTGTCTTCGGAAGGGCTTCCGACTGCAAGGGCAAGCTGAGAGTACGGCTGGGCACCTCCGCGCAAATCGAGACTTTCATGATGGGTTGCAACTGCTCAGAATACAGAAGCCTCAAAAATCTGCAAGTACCCATATGAATCCTTGGGGTTTGGTAACGTAGGTATACCGCAAAATCCCCGAGAACCCTACCCTAACCATTCAGCTGTCTATGTTAGGTCTCTTCAAGCCGCGGAATTATGAATCGGCCCCCCCCTAGAGCCCTAAAGCCCTAATGAACACTCACCTGGGCTCTTGTTAAGGGATAAGAGGTAAGTTACCTTCATGGGGATCTATAGTAGATAACATGGTTTCCTTATTCTGGCAACTTAAACTAAATCCCTTGGTGCAGCGGTGTTAGGCTTTGGGGGCTTCGGATTTTTTGGCGTTTAGAGGATTTGGGGTTTAGGGTATGGGGGCTTAGCCCAACCCCCTAAACCCTAAACAGTAGCAAGTCTCGGATCCATTACCCCCATACTCCGAAGAATCCTTTTTAGCCCTTAAAGGATCCCTAAACCCGAAGTAAACCCTAAACCTCTAAACCCTCTACCCGTAGGCCCCTAAGTAGTTCCTTTTTTGGGATTACCTTATAGGATTCTAAATATAAACCATAAAAGGAACTACTTAGGGGCCTATGGGTAAACCCTAAGGATTCCTCGCCCTGAACTAAGCCCTTATAGGAAATCTTTGCAGTGCCCGAATAGAGGCCCCTTTTCGAAATCCTTAAGGAGACCCCTAAAAGGCCCTAAAAACCCAACAATCTAAAACCCTAAACCCAAAGCCCTGTAAACCCTAAACCCAAAAATCCAAACCCCTGAAACATAAGCCCTAAGTCCTAAACCCTAAACACTCTATAAATCCTAAACCCTATGAGCCCTATAAGCCCTATAAACCCTAAACCCCATAAACCCCTACAAACCCTAAAAAGGGACCCCTGGGCTTCCGGCACGACTGCTGCAGTGCCTTTGCCCTTTCCACGGAAGACTTCGACCCATTTGCTCTTTCCACCGACCTCCCAGGGCGATGGAGACTTAGGGTTGATAAGGGTTTCGGGTTTAGGGGTTTAGGGTTCAGGGGTTTAGGGTTTAGGGGTATAGGGGTTTAGATTTTAGGGTTTGGGGTTTAGGGTTTAAGAGTTAAGGGGTTAGGGTTTAGGCTTTAGGGTTTAGGGGACTCGCGATGCAGGATTCAGTTTTAGATTAGGGTTTTGTGACATCTTTACAAGGTGTTGCAGAGTTCGGCAGGGCTTAAAAAGAGTGTGTAGTGGGTTGAAGCAGCGTTTTAAGTTTTAACTTAAGTGGTAGAGGGTTGTGTCTAAGGGTCTTAGAACTCAGAATAGGATTGTGGAATATGTCACTTACTGTACGGTTATGCAGGGAGTATACGGGGCTAGTAATACTATGTCGTCTTCAGGCCTCTTTACTTTGCTTGCAAGACGAGGACTTAAGAATTCCATGTTGCAGGTTGATGGATTTAGGGCTGTTGTGGTTCGGGGGCTTTGGGGCCTAGGACACTAGGACCTATGAGTTTCGAGTTTCGGGTTGAGCAACCCTACTCTTTCCGCTCCCACCACACCCATAAACTTCAAAAGCAGGCCTTGTTTAGGGTTTAGGGTTAGGAGGGTATGAGCTCGGTAGCCCACGGCAACCCCAAACCTGAAACGTTACTGCTACTTCCTACAACTAGCCGGGCCCAGCCTTACAGCCCAAACTTCTTACTCCTCCAAATCTCCAAACCCCTAAACCTTAAGCCCTAGAAACCTAGACCCCAAACCCCAAACCCCAAAGCCTAAACCCTACAAAATGGAGTTCTAAATTGTCCAGACATCGAGTCGAGAAGCTCACCCCGCCCAAGAAGCCCAAGACCCACCCTAAACCCTCAAACACCCCCAAGACTCTTCACCCCAGATCCCTAAGCCCTTAACAGCCTCAACACCAAAAGCCCCACACTCTTAACCGCCCAAAATACCCTAAACTCCTGAAACCACCGTAAAAAACCCACCCCCAATTCCCTAAACCCTGAAACCTCGAAACTCTGAAACCCCCACACAAATCTACCCCCCAAAACTCCCTACACCCTGAAAGCTCATTGAAACCTGAAGGAAACCTGCAGCTTCCCCACCTCGTCCACCAAGGCCTGGAGGTCCTTCCACTTCGCCTGCTCCGGAATGTTCCCGATCCACAGCTTCTTCTCCGGGTCCTTTTGGGCACTGGAGGGGCGTCCTCTTAACGGTGTAGGGTTTAGGGTTTTAGGGTTTAGGGTTTAGGATTTAGGGTTGAGGGTTTTGCTTCTTCTCCGGGTCCGTTTTGGGCACGGACTAGGGGGGGGTCCTCTTAACGGTTTAGGGTTTAGGGCTTATAGGGTTTAGGATTTAGGGTTTAGGGTTTTTGCTTCTTCTCCGGGTCCTTTTTGGGCACGGACTAAGGGGGTGGTCCTCTTAACGGTTTAGGGTTTAGGGTTTTAGAGTCCTTTTTGGGCTTAGGGTTTAGGGTTTTTTAGGGTTTAGGGCTTAGGGCTTCTTCTCCGGGCTAGGGGGGGGTCCTCTTGATAGGGTTCCTTTGGGGCTCTTCTCCGGGTTTTAGGGTTTAGGGTTTTTAAAGTTTAGGGTTTAAGGTTTTAGGGTTCAGCAACGCCGACGAATGGTGCGGGATGTCCCTCAGGAAGCTGGAATTTGAAACAATCTGCGCATGGTGGTGCCGCGCATTCTTTTGGTCCGCACGGCAAAGGATGGCCACATTCCTGCTTGACGCCTCGCAGAGGATGCCACATGCCGGGGAATAGTCCCTTTGTAGCCAAATGTGCAAAATTTGATAATCCTCGTGCACCGAATGCACCGTCTCTGAGGAATCCTGCCAAGTGTGAGTGAGGTGTATGCCGCGAGTGCACCTCCGGCTTAGGGTTTTGGGTTTTTTGGTGGTTTAGGGTTTAGGGTTTTTTAGGGCTTAGGGTTTTAGGGTTTAGAGTTTTTTGGGGTTTGGGGTTTAGGGTTTAGGGTTTTCAGGTTTAGGGTTTTTTAGGGTTTATGGTTTTTCGGGTTTAGGGTTTTTTAAGGTTTAGGGTTTGGGGCTCATCTACCCATAGGCTCCACAGTAGTTCCTTTTTGTGGTTTATATTTAGGATCCTCTGAGGAAACCACAAAAAGGAACTACTCTGGAGCCTATGGGTATAGCTGTTCAGTTCCTATTGGGGTTCCTCGAAAAAGGGCTCCTCTCAAGGTGTTCTTTAAGGGGGAGGTTTAAGGGTTTTCAGGGTTCAGGGATTTTCGGATTAGAGCTCAGGAGATCAGGGGATCAGGGTCAATGGTTTAGTGATTCCTAACGCTATAAGCCCTGCATGCCTAATTATGCTATGTTGCGAAGCCCTGAACCCTAATTCTTGAATCCAGACCCGATTCCTCAAACTCTAAAATCTGAACCTTGAAACCCTAAACTTCCCTAAACCCTAAACCACTAAACCCTAAACCCCTAAGCCCCAAGATCCAAACCCGTCTAAACCCTAAACCCGGAGACTCTGCAGCCGTAAACCCCAAGACCGTCTGAGTCAACAGCTTGGGGTTGCGAGGACTGTCGGCTTCTGAGCTTTATCCAGAACCTTTCAACGCCGAACACCCCGGGAGAGTCCGACACAGGAGCCCCTGTATCACATCATACCCCACACCCTAAACCCAAAACCCTCAACCCCTAAACCCCTAAACCCTAAGCCCGAAACCCTAAATTCTAAACCCTAACCGTAAACCTCTAAACCCTAAACCCCCCCTAAACCCTATAAAC